GCTCAAACTACTACCAAAGCCACTGCCATGAATTTCAATAGAGTAAGACAAGCAAGTGCTCTACAAAATAGCCCGATACAAAAATTTCAACTGCATTACATCTTTTGTTGTTTTTCGGCACAGCAGAAGGCATTATGTGTCACTGCATGAAGTGCTTACATAAGCAGCAGAGTGATGTAACTTTGGAAAGTACCTGCCAATAGCATGCATAAGTCAATTCCAACAACATACTGCCCGCTTCAGAGAGCGATACATGATACAGTGTAAGATCAGCTTCATGTTTCATGTACTTTTATGTCAACAGTGGAAAAGCAGACAATATCTGATCTGCCATAAGCTTTGTGGGAAAGTTACAAAATTTTGTGAACAACTTTGAATTAGTAGAATGACTGCTGGTAAGTAGTACACATTGACTAATATTATGTGTTTGGATGAAATACTCAGATTTTTAATTTCATAGAACCACAACACAAATGAATCGCACAAAGACATTAATTCAAACAGAATAAGCTTCCAAGCATTTTAGAAACTTACATAATAGTACCCGTAAGTGCACCTATAAACAAATTGTTTCAATGCGTCCTGCTTATGCCTGGCTTCCTTTATGTTTTTACTGAGTGACTGCCACAACAGGCTTGATAAAATAACGATACTCTCAATGTTAAGTGCAACACTCTACATAATAATGTCTTTGACAGAAATAAATCATATGTTTTTGCTGTTTTCCATATTGCCTTCATCTCATTGCTTTCTTTATGTTACAGAGATCTAACACTTAATCAGCTGCAGAACAAGTACATAATGAATTTGGAAAAAAAATGATAGAAGGCTGGATTTTATCTGTTATAATGAATCAAATAATGAAACTGGAATCACACTGGTTTTGTTATTTTGGTCCCATGCACTAGAAACCAACGATAGTGATAGGAGTGGTTGATTTACCTTGCTATCAGCTAAAAGTACTTTTAAAACTCTAACATGGACTATTCAAAGTAACAGAATTTATTGGAAATAGAAGTAGGATTTTCAGAGTGAAGATATGTTAAGGTTTCAACCATTTCTAACCCTTTCCCCCTTACTTTTAAGTAAACCCACAACTTGAAGAGCTATTGAGATGTGCAGTCTGTGCTAATATTGCTAATATTAGCAATAATAACATTGCTAATACTTTGAATACAATCTCAAGCTATAAGATTGAAAATACTCTTTTATAATTAGATATGCAAGAATAACTATTTAGATGGCTCTACCGTAATAACCACCTAGGAACCTACTTTCCCATATGTGGATTCAAGAACATAGGAAAGGAAAAAACCGTATTTGCACAGCGTATATGAAAATTTTTAAAAGAACTCCCAAATAATTACAAAATATAGTGATCCAAAAGGTCTTCACTACAATAGGCCACATTAGGTAACAAGCCATTTTTCTGGTTAGGTTTATGTTACACTTACATTCTCCCACAAGTAGTAGTACCACACGTTATCTAATATAGTGATTTTCATACGACTTATATCCCAAAACACTATCCTCCTCAGGAAAAAAGAATGAAGCAATGTTTCAAGACAGGATTCACCATCACAAATTTTCCATCAGCTGGAAGTCTGGAAGCCGAGTCAGGAAGAAACCCAAGACTAATTTGCTCCCCCTAGGATTGCAACCACTAGAAAGAGTCCTTTCTATTTTTTTTTTTTTTTTAAATGTGATTAACAAATATAAGTATACACATGAACTGTAGCACATTAAAAGCCTATCCATTTACCATGACCCTCTGTTCTTGTATCCAAAAAAACTTAATGCAGAAGAATTTTCCCCCAAAATATTTATCCCAAAGTTACCATGAACATTTTATGTTACTCCATTATTCCAGTCCATACCTGCAAACCTGCCAGCTGAGCAGATGACTTCCCTTTGAGGCAGAGAATGAGTGCCAAAAATGCATTTAAGTCCTCCAGAGAGAGGCTACTGACCTAAAACAGATTAAAAAAATAACACATTATCTGAAGGCTCTGAAGAACTTTCTGAAAACTTGCTCCTCTTGCTCAAGCACATCAAACTTAACACAGTGACCTCATGAAGTTATAACCACCATGAATACATTGACTAGGAAAAGACACTTAAAGGGAACAAAATACTTACTTTCACAACTTGAATGAAGTGCATACCCCAGTACCCATGTATATTGGATTTCCACACACCAAACAAAATGCCCACCCTTCATCTATTCCCTTCACCTCTTCCCTTGGAGTTTCTTAATAACAGGAAATTTCTTCATCTGCATAACACTAAGCATAATAAAAAAAATGAGATTTAAAAAATAAATAAATAGCTTTATAATCAAGACCCAGAACAAAAACCACCTTTATGAGCCACAGATGTGATGACCATTAGGATTTCTTTCAAATGCTTACATAGTTATCTGTTGGAAACTTTAAAAGTAATCTAAAATATTTAAATTACCTATTTTAAGCTAAATTTCAGGATTTAACAAAACATACTTGGATTCTTTTGGTTTGAAGTGGAGAGAACTCAACTATAAGAAAGCTAAACCTAAAATGTTCGAGTGGGCAAACATAAAGGAAGACTCTAAATTCATGTAAAAGTTCACTCTAATACTTCTGTCAGAAAAAGGAGAATGGAGACATTTACTGCTGTGAAAAAGTATTCTGGGATTCTATAGAGGCACACGGTCACCTCAGGAGAAAGACAGTACCTCTAGACCAGCTGGACTGATTCCCTGACAGTACCAGTCCATTCCTGATCATCTGCTTCTTCTTCTAAGAACACTATACACTATACATGTGCACCAAGACCAAATATGTTACACATGCTGAGGCTATAACAAGGGCTCTAAGTGAGACCCATAAAGCACTACAATTCTTTATTAATTGGAACTTGAGAGAAGGTTTCTCTTGCAAAGTGTGGAAATGTGCATTGTGGGTTTACAGTACAATTAAAAGGCTGACTAAAACTCTGCATTGCCTTTCTTTTAACAGCTTGATTTTTGGGGAATGTTGTGTATATCCCATTTCAATCAGTTAAGAGTATCTGTTACAACTATTAAAAATCGAAAAGTCACAGAAAAAATGAAGGAGAGAAAAATTAACAAAAAAGTATTGACGAAATCAATAGAAAAAAAATCCTAACCACTAAGTAGCCATCTATAATTACTTCATTTATTTGCTTAGGAGGATTAATCTATAATTTTTTCCTCAAGGTAAAAATTATTCAACTGTTACCGAGAATTTTTTTTTTTTTTTTAAATTGGGCCTTGCTGCTTATCCCATTGTAAAATACTTTGCCCTCTATGACTGTTAAAACTTGCATAAAGCACAAGAATGTGAGGGGTATCAGAAAAGTTTTAAGGTTTCAGAATACTCCGTGGTATTCATTAACTCCACCTGGCTGCTAAGATCTGATAATGGCCCTACTTTACCTTTTATTTCAAGTCAGGTGTCACCTTTGTGTAGATGGCAACAAGAGAGGTTTACTAAACCTGCACATTTTTTACACTGCAGTAACAGGAAAAAGTGACTTTCATCTACAAAAGAATTCTTAATACTTGCACAAATTTGTCCTAAGAAAAGTCAAAGATTGCTTGCAAGTACAAATGCGCCCAACAGAGCAGATCAGCCAAAATGCTTACAAATGTCACAATGCTTCTCTAGAGAAATATTTTATTCAGTAACTGAACTTGGTGAGTTATCATACTTCCATTGTCAGATTTCTTCCAAAACTGTAAGAGCTTGAAAGAGAAATTTCCCCTTTCTTTGGAGGCTCCACAGTTTGATATTTGAACTCATTCACTCCTTTCCCTAACTTTAAAGACAGATCCACTATTTTGTATTTTTTTCACTGTTTTTGTTCTTGATTTGGAGGATATTTGAAAAGTACCCTCCCTGAAAAGATCGCTCTTCAAATCAACACTTTCTTTATATATAGTTAAAATTTGCTTATTGGAATTTTATTCTTGCTTTTAAAAAAAAAAAAAAGCATCTGACGTTTTCATTAAATACTTGCATATAATTTTTGAGGAAGCCAGATGGGTTGGTCAGTATGCTGGATCCTGCAAAAACTTAAGTTTTAGCTTAAATTAAATTATAAGTAATGAAAATTTTAAGAAGTTTATTTCTCCCTCATATGAGCTGAAGGAAATAATTATGTTAGGCTGCTTCAAGGCAACCTACAATTGCCCAACTTAAATCACCTTTGGGGTAACAATCCACCTCTCCTCTCTAATACAAATGTAAGACTAAAGTGTAAAGTAAAGACAAGAATTAGGCCACGGTTAGACAAGCACTGTTTTCTCAGCTATAAAACAAATGGAAGCAGTATGGCCAGCTCAAAGCATGGTTGCTGACATTCTTGCTCTCATGTTTTCCTCTCAAACACCCCAAGAAAACAAATGGACAATATCAGAGACCTAACCAAAGTTTAGATCAACTCACCAACGAAAAACATTTTAAACCAAATCAATTCCCTAGTCTGGTTCACAGGGTAGATTGTATCAGTGCAACCCAAAGAGCAGAGAGAATCAGGAAAACGAGACAGGTATTGAGAAACTAGCACCGCCATGAAAAACCTTCCATCAGACCAAGCCCTTTGCGTGATCTCTCTGCTATTATTCTTATTGAAAACAGGAGCTGCAAAACTGTTTTCAACTCTTTTTAACACTAGCCACCAGATAATAAGTTCTGAGAACGATATCCCTAAGTTTGGGTTTTTTTCCTATTTTATTAATATGCTGTGATCAAGTCTCAGTACATCCACATTTCTGTAGGTGTTCTGTCCTGTTGCTCCTCTTCCCAATCCCACTAAAGAAACCCTTCTCAAATAATTTAGTAATCACGCTATGAAACTGTGTACAGGATAGCAGAATAAATAAATGAAATGGTCATTTCATACCCAAATATGAAAAACACTTTGAAGTATGTTTAAAGCTAAGTACATGACATGTACCCTTCTGAATTGAAACAGCAAGGCATGAAATGATCTTTAATGAGTTTCACCTTCAAAAAACTTTCAATTTATATCCTGCTATACAAAAATCAAAGAAAAAAAAAAAGCTATATGGATTATTTGTATAATTCCCAGATGGTGTATTGAGTAAATACATATAAGTTTGAACAAACACGTATGAAGGAAAAATAAAGGAAAAGTCAGGGAGAACTTGTTTTCACATATCACACACCAGTATAAATCTGTTATCAAGGAAAGTCTGAAAAGCAAAACAAAAGACAAAATGCAGTTCAGTGTGCAAGTAAAAGTGAAACAGAACTTATCAGATTAGATAAAGGCATTGTAATTTTCTCATCCTCAGAAAGGAAAATCTGCTTGTGAGATCAGCATTTGAGAGGTGGCAGGTACAGACAATACATTAAATACCTAAGAGAAATGTAAATAGTGAAGCAATATTGTATTTAATCTTGTGTTCCTTTTTATTACAATTAAGGCAGCCTGCACACGGCCAAATGTTTGGAATTAGACCTACTACCTAATAATCACCTATTACTCAGAATTTAATGAGAAGAGCCATATCCTCAGTTATGGCTTGAAACTGAGTAAATTGACAAGACGGTGTGAAAAAGTAGTGAGAGCTGACTAAGTATTTATATTGTGTGCTTGCACAGCCTGCAATAGTCACCTGAGGGAATGTCTTCTTTTGATGACACAAAGGAAACACAAAAAGAGAACCTTTAATTTGCAAACAGGTCCCAAAAAGCGGAGGAAATCCCTCAGTTTACACTCTCTGTTAAACTGCCCAAGGGGCTTTGTCATGGGCATGTGAGAGTTATGATTAACTACTAAAAAACCCCAAGTGTTTCTTGAACAGGATGAGGCATGTTAAATGGAGTAATTAAAAATACTGTAATGCAGTACTATTATATTTGATCAACTATGCCTACAGAAAAGATTAAGAGAAAAATCCAGCACAGGCTAGCAAGAAACAGTTCATTAGTCAGTCATATCTATCAGGGTTGACAGGTGAAGAAAAAGCAACTGTCCCAGTTACCTGCATCATAAGATAGGCCAGCAAGCAGCAGAATGCTGCAACAGGTGCTTCTAGAGCTTGGAGCTCTTCCATCCCATCCTGAAGGTGAAAGCATGCCAGAAATGTAGTATAGCGTTGCTTTTCCACATCAGGTCCTTTGGCAAACCACAGTGTTTTCAAATTAGGTGTTCCACCTACAAAAGAGATCCATTATTTTATCTTGGCAGCAACAAGATAAAACATGCCTACCTCACTACAGTGTGAAAGGAAAAAACTGATCTGCTCTTGGCACCTGCAAGTTGAAAATAAAATGTATTTGATAAAACCTGGCATTTGAAAAAAAAAAAAAAAAAAAAACCAACCCCCAAAAAATTAAAGCCTGTAATTAAACAAATTGTACTGAATGCAGGCACGTTTAAGCAGAGTGAACTGAATTCAATTGTTACAACAATATAGACAACTTTCAGACATCATCAGGCTTTTACCCTTTACAAGAACAAAGTTTACCTACAAGTGTATCCTCTCCCTTGGGGATCCATAGCATTAAATGAGGTTAGCTTCATCATAAAATAGTAATTCAGTAGAAAACAACCCTATCTGTTTCTTCTCTCTCTCTCCTAGAGCTAGCGTATCGTGGTCCTTGAGGGATCCTCACATTGCCTTCCTTATAATCACCTGTTTTAATGAACAAACTGGTCACCTATGCCATTTGCTGGCAAACACATTCTCCACAAAACAATGTGCTGGTATCACTCCTCTGCAGTAGGTTCCAGTTTGGGAACAAAAATCAAGGCTATCTGGTATTTTGCACTCCCTAGGCTACTGTATGAAACGCTGTAGCAAACACACACAAAAGAACTGTCATCAGTTATGTATAATGTATCTTTCCACACTTTCTATAGTATCATTCACCTAGGTCTCTCAGTCCTTAGTATTTACCCCATGTTGCCATCTCCCAGCTTGTGACATGTGTGAACTAATGTAAAATTTGGTCCCCATTTAAATTACATTTAATCCATTATCAAAATAAACACCAAGGCACATGAAATAACAGAACAGCTAACTGGTTATGCCTAAGAATCCCAATTAAAGACAGAATCCTCCCATAAAGTACTGCTGCTTCTGTAGTTAAATACAATGAGGTGTGAATTTTAAATGCAGACTAATTAAGCTACATTTGGTAACAACTTTTCTTTTTTGTGTGACATGCAGCAGCTGTAGTCCAGTCAAGAACACTTGGTGATAATAAATGGTTAAAGCAACAACGTGTTGAAATCTACATAGGCAATGTTTATTTAACCAAGAAAGCCCATTAACCAAATGGTACTTATTCTTTGGAAGAAATAGAAGAAACTAGAAGAGAAGTTAGGTTTTTTCTTTCTTCATCTCCCTGATGGAGGTTTCTTTCACTATTTTTAAGACTAACTCTCCTGTCCAAAGTTTTAACGATGTAAAGAATTACCATCATACAGCCTGTAAGTTTCTAACCTTATTTTGTAGGGAAATACATATGTTAAGAAAAATACCAGTTGCTTGATTGGAGTCGGAAACGCAGGTTAGCAATAACACAAATACTGGCAGTGAGCAGGCCAGTACAGACAGCACAATAAGACTCAGATTAGTGGTTTTAATACTGGTAATTGCTGCCTTAAGGAAAAAAAAAAAAACAAAAAAACACCACACCACCAACAAAAAAACCGAACAGCAGAGACTGACTTCCAGGAAGAAAGCAAAGATAACATGCATAAAACCAAAACAAAGCCAACTTTTCCTACGAAGGCTCAGCAACTTTAAAGTGTTTTACATGGGTCAAGTCAAATAGTTTTGATGGTGTCTGCTTTCCAGAAGGTTCCCAATCCACTGCATATGAAGAGACACGACAAGAATCAGTTAAAGGAAAGTCCTCTTTCCATCTGTAAAGTTTTTTAAAATTGCATCCAGGGGTATACCTAATAATAGAAATCCTTCCTTCTTCAGAGTAAAACCATGAACTACATCAATAGTCAAGATTACATATCTATATTGAGAGAGCTCAACAAAAATTCAAGACATCTCTTCCATAAACAGTTTCTTATACTTTCAGAAACAACATCTACTTGTGCCTGGGAAAAAGAGGTACTGATGAATTATGAGTTATTTACTCTGGGAAAGAAAACTTGATGCTCTCCTTCTGGAACATACCAACCAAAAGTGCTATTTTTCTGAAAGGATCTCTCCTACAAGCAATTAAATTCCATGTAATACCCAAGAGTGATCCATTATATTAACCTTAAATGAAAGAGAGAAAACAAAGAAACAAATACACTGAAGTTTAGTGGCCCTCCCATCATGAGTACAGTCAACAGACATAAGATTCGTATACAGTAGACCCCCAAAACTGTTCTCTGCTCAAGTTACATCCTCACTACATACTTTACAGCAATTAGAAAACATTCCTGAAAGAGAGAAATTTACGTGGATAAGGAAGAGAAATATTTTACTTTCTGAACACATCTAAATATTTACTACATTAACCTTAAAAAAACCCCAAAACTGAGTAACAAAAACATCTGAGAAATGGAACAAAATATATGTATAACAGATGCATCTTTACTGTGAAGATTAGTCATGAGAAAATTAGCTATCCTACCGGGGTTGTAGGAACCACAAGTTCCTATGAATTAGAGAGATACTCAAACAATGCTATTCTCAACATGCACAAAACTGCGTGAAAACTGTATCCAGTACTACATAAACTGTAGTCTTTGGGAACTCCAAGAAGAGGAGTACCACAAAGATCTTCATGGAGATCAAGAGGTACTACTTGCCTAAACACAAAAATGGACAACCAACAAGTTAAGGGAAAAGCATTGATTCAATTTTTTTTTTCCTTTTTCCTTTTCATTCACATGTCATATAGAAAGCATAATGGTAAACAAGAGCAATTCAGGGGAATACATCAATATTTATTTAATGTGTTTGAACTTCAATAACTGACATGAATACGCAATGCATGCAAAAGTCGTGGAATGCATTAATACTATGACATCCTTGAACTCAAGGCTTATACAGAGGTGACCCTCACATTCATACCAACTTAAAATATGTCATCATTGTGTATATAGATATAAATGTATAATTTAACTGTTTATGTATATTTGAAATAGTGACTATCGAAATTTCATTTTATAACACCAATAATAGAACTTTAACACTTCATCGTTTTACACACTGAGCAATAAAAATAAGTTGATAAAAATATACTTGCTAGGAACGCTCAACATTAACTTGTCAACAACTGTGGCCAATTTTAAAGATGCCATAAACCCAAATGCCAATTAAATCTGGCCATTAAAGCAGCATTCCAGAGACAGCATTTTGAACATAAGCATATTCATGACATATTCCTATAAGAAGCAACGATTAGAATACTGAAAGTACATCCAGACTCCTGTGCTATGAAGCTAGAATATCCTACATATTTTCAGAAATAAAATGAAAAGGAGATTCTATACATTTCCAGTAAAACTTCCTCTGTTCCATATAAACTGTACACACACCAAATAAATCAGCTATGTTCACAGGATGTAGATGTTAAACAATATTTTCTTGGATCACAGATCTTCTAACAAAATTAATTTCTCAGAGAAATTAAGTATGAATTTAAGTGCTGCTCTGTCAACGTGTGGGAAACATCATGATCACATTCATTCAACTGAAAGGAAACATTCCAGAAGGGAGAAAGAGAGACAGACAATATGAGCAAGCACGGATGCTAATTCAGAAGACTGTTGCTCAAGAAAAATACATATACATAATACACACTATATTTTATATTTATTTTAAGCTATCATCTTACAGCCTTTAGGATTCGATATTTCATTTAAAAAAAAAAACTAATACTCAATCTATCACCTGCAAGCTTTTCAGATGCAAGACAGTTCTACTGTTTTATATACATAAAAAAAATCAGTGGGAATTCTACTTTTTTTTTTTTATAAAATTTAAAATATTTATGGTTATGCACATTAAAATTCAAAGTTCATATCAAATATTCTTTCTTCAGCCTTTTTAATCTAAATCAAATTCAGTAGAGTCATGATTTCCCAGATATTTTCCGTACACTTCTAAAGTAGTTGCGACAATGAGGTTATAATTTTTTCCAAGCAAGACAAAACAAAGAACCTTCCCAGATTAATTGCACCTGTGATTTTTTCAAATAGTTTCTGGTATGTTTTTTTTCTCTTTTTTGAGTAACCTGATCTTCCCTGACAGCTTTGAACTCTAACATCCTATAACAACTTCTTTAAATTTAGCTCTAAATATGATCCCTGTCTGAAAAATGTGATGGGCTGTTGAGAACCTTATTTGGTGAATTAGAAAGTCATGCTGTGGAAAATAAAAGATGCATGAGCGAATGTAAGGCATACAAATATGGACTGCAAAAATTCTGGAAAAATATTTGTTCGCTGAAGGAATGACAACAGAGCACTAAAAATAAACACTAGAAGTTCTCCTCCCCTTTTTTAATAGTCTGCTTGAACAGCCTTTCATTGCTGAATTAGTATAGATTATGGCTGAAAAGATGCTGGTTTTATAAACTCCTCTTATGTGGTTGCTATAAACACACAGAGTGATTTTAAATCCTATTTATTGTCATCATGAATGTGGGTTCTATGTGTAGCATGTGTAGAACCTGAGCACATGAGATTAAGTGGATTCCTCTCCAGAAAGGGAGGAAGTTACTATACTACCTGGGAAGGAAAATTTCACTACAATAAATAGAGTATATTTGCCATGCAAACTGAAATGTCACTACCTAGGTATGGTTTATACTTCATTGGGCTTTGTTTGCTTGATTTACAAATGCATGTTCCCAAACCATTGTATGCCGAAATAAAACAGTTGCACAGGACAGACTGATCAATTTTTACCCTGCGTATTCATATCAATGTGGAAAATTTCACAGCAATTTTATGCTATCAAGTCAATTATACACTCACTCTCCTAATATTGTATCGGGGTACTGGACAGTGAAACTACTGTATATCAAATGAAACCTTGTTTGTACTTTGTCTACGTAACTCATTTCTTTCCAAACAATTCCTCTCAAAAGTATTTTGAAAAGGCTGATATCTAAAGAGCAACTGTTTTTCTGACTCTCATTAAATATAAGTTTCAAATATGAAGATAAATGTACAATCTTAAGATACTTTAAGAGAAAATTTACTATAGCCCTAGCAAATTAAAGAAAAACAAGTAGTTTCTAAAGCAATCCCTAACAAAAAAAAGAAAAAAAAAAAGTGCATGCATTTCAACTTCTTCTGAATCTGGACTTCAACCAGAGTCTGGATTTAGATCAGAACAAAGACTGCTACAGAAAGCTCTGGGTACTGAGGAAAGAAGTGCTAGTAATTACTCTCAAAAAGTTGAGTAGATAATTTTTCTTAACAAGATAGCAATGGCATTGTACATCAATGGAAGTAATTAATTTCATATGAAAGACTAAAAAACCACTGAGGTCCTGATCCACATGATAGCAGATGACTTGACAGAGAGAGAGAGCTGTGAGAGTAAAGTAGAGGTGTTATGACTACAATAGCATGGACAAATGAACAATTAGAACTATTTTCCCTCTGAAATAACAAAACGGGTACAGTACTGTTTACTTCCTATCCTAAACTTGTATTGCACGATACAATTTAGTGACAAAGAGATGAGTGACATATACAGTGCCCAATCTTTTCACTGAAGTACATATTTCCTCGTAAATGTAATGCATTCCTCCCAGGACTAATTTCACTGAGAGTGTTCACGAGTATGTCTTCTACGAAAGGGAAGAAGAACACACAAAACACTTGATGCTTAAGACAGTAGAAACAGCTTCACAGAAACAGAGAGCCTAATTTTTTTATTGAAAGCTGGATTCTCTTTTTGGGTTGTCACAGGTGATCTAAAAATGGCCCTTTTTATATTCTCCACCAGTGTCATTAACACATTCTCTCAAACAGCTTAAAAGAAGAATTTTAATATGGCCCTACACACCACTTATCCTGGCCTCAGAGCAGTATTTAGAACCTCTAAGAAATTGCTTGCATTTTAGAACTGATGTTTGAATTAGCACGGGGTTTAATAAGACATAGCAGTAACATGTAGCTCAAAGATGAATCCTATTATAATTATACAGGGTAATTAAAAACAATTACAGGCATGGAGCATTTCTACTTTAGCTCTTTGTTCTCCATAGTCATTTTGGATTCCATATCAAACATGTGATGATGGATTGTCTAACCTGATTTCAGTGGTGTCATTATTTCAGTTCAGATTTAAACACACTTTTATTCTACCTGGAATAGAAGGTTGTACAGGTTGTATCAGCTCCGGCTGCTGGAGAGGATTTCCAAAATAGACAAACCACTCTTTTACCAAAGGATAAGCTCCACCTAAGAAAGACAGAATTGGATCAGTAAGTCAAATGCAAGTATTGACACTACTGTAAAAGTTGGAAGCAGTGGTGATCGGGATTCTGAAGTAATAAAAGGCACTTCATAATGACTTGTTTGCTCAGCTGTTTTAAAAACAAACCAAGAAAAATTAGTATCTTTATGACAAATCATAGAACAAATGAAGAGAGTTTGAATTATGTACTATAAACATGAGTTTGGAGTTGGGAACTGCAGCCAAAAATGTAAGCACAAGAGTTTGTGGAAAGCATTCTAAAATTACTTTCAGCCAATTTTAGGCCTTCTCATTGCAAGGCAGTTCAGGAAGCCGTGGAAGCATCTGGCATAGCTTAGGGACGTACATGAGCTACCTCTCTCAGCGCTGTCACACTGCCACATATGCAGGCAGTCCTTAATATGATTCTCCTCCCAACTTCCCCTGACATTTCCTGTGTCAGGGTTTGAGACAAAATCTCTATAAGGAGGCCTTGATGGCTATTTGAAAGCTGACAGCAATGGAGTCATCCCACTGTCAGATGTAGAGCTTTTACAGCCCATTGTTCCAGACCTTTTATCTAGTACAAAGGGATTGTTTATGCATAGTAGCTCAAGTGGCTTCCTACCCTCTAACCCCAACTCTGGCCCACCCCCCAGGTAAAGAGTAGGGTGCCTCTTAAATTAAAAATTTCACTACTTGAGTTGTGCATATAACTACTTGATGCTTTAACAAAAAAAAAAAAAAAAAAAAAAAATATACCCTCAGAAAAAACTTAAGCATTTAAGAATTTTTGAAATGCAGCCTACCCAATTTCCAATAGTCAGCTCATAATAATTCCAATGCAAGTCTTCATAAAAAGCCCCTAGAATCATTATAATTGTTATAAACAGTGCTTCTGCATTCTGTCCAGATTTTGCTTATGGTAACCATGCCATAGCGCCCTAAATTTCCACTCTCTGTAATTCGTTAAACAGTATGAAGTAAACAGATTTAGATAGCCCACAGCACTTGGAATAGTGTTTTCAAATCTTTTCCAGGCAAATCTCAAAGCTTTTTTTTCCTTCCCTTGTCCCTTTCCAGTTTCACAGAGTTGCATCTCTAATTCCTCCCAGCTCTCACCCAGTGCTGAAGCCACTGTTCTCAAAAATTCCTGCCTTTCATCATCAATTCCAATCAACCTGCACTTTATTATACAAGTATTTCCGATGCCACATTATGAACCCTAATCACAAACTTCATCTAGCTTAAAACAAACCAAACAAACATCTCCAATGCTCCCCTCCATCACCCCAAAAATTTTGGTCACATTTATTTCCTGATCTTGTTCATAGCTCAGTGCTGCAAATGACTGTTGGCATGAGTGAACAAGTAGTGTGCTATGGTGCAAGGGCAGAAATTCCTCAGATGGAGTTCTAAGTGTCAGGGATAAGAGAGTGGGAAAGAACACAACAAAAATCTGTTTTACAGCCCTACTTCTTCTTCCTTCCTCACCCATGGACCTGCAGCATAAACTGCCAACAAAGGTGAGGGACTGAAGAACCAACAGCTGGACTACGAAGAACAGCATTACACCTGGCTTGCCATGTTTCACTGTTCAAAAACTGATGACATTAAGAATAAAATGAAAAATGCCTACACTGGGGAAAAAAAAAAAGCCTTAAACTTCACATTCCAGTAGCTGAATAGTCTCACATGTTGATTATAAATCACTGCCTATGATAATGCTATGTCATGAACAAACTCCTCCAATTTAATATCGCAAAGTCACTTTCAGAAACATTCTGATGTTTTAGCATTGTGGTTTAAGATTTATTATGTAAATTACTCTGCTTTATTCAGTCTGTTTAGCTCACAGCCTCCCAGATTTTAGCCTGGCTTCTTAAGGAAGCAAGCCTAATACAATCAGGACATCTGTCTTTTAATTAATTCATGGATGCACTGCTGTTTTGACTAAATCTCAGAGAGAAGAGATTTCAAATGTATTAAATTCCTAAACATTTTGTGAAACTGGTGACTCAGCTGACAGAGGGATCCTATTAGGGCACCAACTGAAAGGAAGGCAGGAAAGTCAAGTTACCTGTTGTATCTGAATGTACTGGATGGCAAATCAATACACAAGTAACTATGGAAGAGCTAGAACTGAATAAAAAGGTAGATGGGATTTGGGGAGAGCGGGAGGCAATATACTTGAGAACACCATATATTGCAGGAGGGAGTTGTCAAGGACACAGGGAGAAGTTAAGCGCATGGTAGGAAGGAGCACAGAAATAGAAAAGCTTTGCTATTGGAGAGGGTTGCTCTTTATGAGTTCCACAACTCACAGAACAACTTCTCAAAACGACTCTCGATTCCAAACGCCAATGAAGTACTATTTTTACATCACCCATTCAGCTCAAGCACAGCAAAAAGAGAAATCAATAGGAAACCTCTAGTTTTGTTATTCTAAGGTATGTGAATGTTGGTACAGGACGTAGCACCACATCAGCTGAGTGCTCTTCACTATTATAGTCCACTAGTAACGAAAGTATATTACCGTTCACATAAGTAGCCAAATAAATATAGCTGAAAGCAAGGTGCTGTGAACTGACAGCATATTAACATACCATGAACAAAATGGAGATGTGATTACTAAACGTCACCCCTCCCTGCATGGAAATATCTCTGGAAAAAAACAGTCATTTTTCAAACTTTTTCCCCCACAATGCACATAGAGAGTATCACCAGTGAAATTCAAAAAATATCAGTACCTTTATTTAAATAGACTCTGAATGGCCTGTGGAAGCACTGCTTAGTCAGTCTAAGGAAAATTTCAACTATGTGCAAAACACCAAAACACAAGACAGTTGGAAATGCTGTTTTGTATGCTCCTCTACACCTGCAACAATGCCAACCCTCCTGAGTGGTCACTGGTGATAACTGGCAAAAATTCTGTTAACAGACTGTTTTTGACAGTGTCAAAGCAAGGGTCGGTCTGGCCTGCTAATGTTAGAACTGGGAGTGATGCCAGGACTTCCAGGAGCTGACCACGGACTTAGACTACATTGCATAACCTCCTAATTGGCAACAGTCACGCAGGAGCAGGTATTTCCATGGACTGCACTGGTGCCAAAACCTGCCAGCTTTGTTCTGAACTCTTCACACACAAAAGAAAGAGCTTGGCTGGCCTCTCAAGGTGCATTATGTACTGTTATTTTCCCCTTCGTCTTGAATTTTTCAAGTAGTACTGTTTTTCTAGGAAAGATGCTAAAAGTTGATGATTTATATATCACTATATATAATATTCCACTTAAAGATCAGAAATAGCTCAATTAATTATAAAGATACCTTTAAAATACACGGGCAACAAATGCCACACTATGAGGATCACCATCAAACCCCTATTTATATTGGTAGGGTCAAAAATAAGGCTGTGATTCTAGTAACATTTCTGTGAGTAAAGGTACATATATGCTTACCCTACACCAAACTATACCAAAGGCATAGCTATATGAGCAATTCTTTCAGCAGCACTGCTAACTTTTTCAGGCAACTGCTGATCTGCTCATTCCCGCTCCCTGCCACTCCCTCGGGCTGCTTCAACACAGCTGTTTGTGGCTACACAAAAAAAGAGTCAGATGGGAAAACAGAACCAGGTTAGTTACCTGACTGCAGGAAAGGGAGAGAAGAGAGAGGGGCTATTTTCAGTTTCTCAAACTAGGCCACCATGCAGCTGCACAAACAGCTGCACCAGCACAACTGAAAGGCTGCACAGGGACTGAAATGAGTGGCTGTGCAAGAGAACTACTTGAACTGGCACTGACAGCAAAAGAAACACGTATCATACAATGGCTTCAGGCAAAGTGGCATGGTCTAGGCAGGTGATTTCAAAGGATATGACAACATCCAGCTCCTATTGATTCTTGGGTCTTTTAGGCATCTTGGAAATCTCAACCTAGACATTCAAAACTAACAGTTTCTTGTTTCAGGGTAGAGGAAACATTCTTTTTAACCTGTTCTTACTAAAATTGTAACCGCTGATTTTACTAAATGTTGGCTGCTATGCTACCCCTATTTAACAGTAAACAATCAGATTTGCAAACTGCAAGGATGTCAGTTTCCAACACAGGAATCTTGTAATTGAGGGGTCTTAAGGAACAAAAAAGACAATCACTAACAACATACATCTCCACTACAAACAAATGTTGTGTAGAGTTAGTCAAGTTAGCTTCAAATGAGCTACACCAGCAACTGATCATGATGGCAGCAGACTGCAGGTGGACTAATTTAATCGGTTGACTCCTTCCAATAAGCTCCTTTTTAATGCTAATCCAAAGTAATTCTACATTATACCACCACCTACATACGGTGTAGGTTACCTCTTCCCATCCTACCCCTCACTTAATTACAGAAACTAGTCAAGTTGAGGGAAACGGGCAAGTGATTCTACTTACTTTGTAAAGAACAAAACTTCCTTGTAGGTCTAGCAGCAAATTAAAAAAAAAAAAAAAAAAAAAAACATTTACTTATGAATTCCCATACAGAGCCTGATTAATGATCTACACTCTTGACTTAGAACTAACTATACACCGGAATAAAAAAAACAACCCAGGAACTACTAGGAAGTGACATAGTTAAAGCAGTCAGAGGTAGATGCATGCGTTAAAAATGCAGACTTAATAGGAGCGCCCATGCAGACACACTCTCCCTACCTTTCTGGAAGGGTTAAGGATTGAGGGTGCACCATGATTTACTACAGAAAATTATCTCTGGAATTTGAAGCATGAACTGAGAATAAATGACACATATTATCTGTGGGTTTATTCTAAAATCACTTTCTTAAAAGAAGACCTCTTTCACGTTCAAATTTCATTTTCAGTAAGATTCTAAATTAATGTTTCTGTATTTCAGTCCTAATCTTCTTCATCTGAGTACTACAAACACTGTAACACAAATGCAAATCTGCCTACTACCCTGCCATCGCACAGCAACAATTGTTAATTAGAAGTTTTGGTCTGGGTGTTTCTGAAAACATCAGTGAATGTCCTACTGCTCAGAGGAATAAACAAAACGCAACCAAGTCATAATTGTCCACAAAATTTAGAGGCAGGAGGCCGAAAAATGAAAAATGACAGATGTGCATGATTACTGTCGGGATTGTTGTTACTCTCTCCAAAGACTATGTAAACTCTGATTCAGTTTTTCCTATTTTTTTTCCCTATCATGGCACAACTTCAACCTCTAGTTGCTTAAGGAAGTCAGGTACTTAATTACCTTTTTGTGCCTTTCTAAGCACATAGTTTGGATATTGATGGATATATTGATGCTGGTGCACGTTCATCAATAAAATGTAAAGTGATTACCAAGGAGAAATCAACACATTAAAACAAATAAAAGTTCAGTACATTTTTAATTTTCCACTCACTGCCTGAAAGACATGATAAAGATAACATTTAATTAATGGAAGTCTTAAGAACATAAGAATTGCCCAAGGTTGTGAATAAAGAATTCTCTGTCTTAAAGCAAAATGGAAGCACAGATATATATACCTGCCACAGAAACTGTTTATGCCACTGGATAAAAAAAAAACCAAAATCATATTTCCTTGCACTTTGAAGAAAGAAATAGTAATGACTGGCATGACTACTTGCATCTGTATTACTACAGTAACTATATTTGACTATCCAGCATCCTTAAAATTGCAGACTTGCAGACTTAAAATCAACAGAATGTAAAACTGTAACAGTGCATTACTGTTTTGCAGAAGTGCATTACAACTCACTAATTTATCAGGAGCTACACTTATCAAAGCAACATAAGGTTTCATATCCTCTCAAACTTTTAAAAATCTCCTAAATGTCATTGTTTTACTTGATCTTTTGATCAATAGCAACTTTCACAACTTCCCATTTAACAATGAAAAAAAACCCCAATGTTTAAAAATCTCTTTAAAAGCACTGAAATTGAACAGCATGTAGAAAAACCACAATTTCATTGTCACATTTTCCATTGATTGCTTGAGAAGCACACTTCAGCTCCCACAGTTTTTATCCTAAATATGAAGGTGATGTAACCACTGAAACAATGAATTCAAGATTTCCTATTTTAAAGTTGAACATATACTTGAATAATGGTGTAAGTAGTTTAATCCTTACCTTTTCCAGATTCCAACAAGACAGAATAAATATGCTGACGAGCAGAACGGTAGATAAGTGCCTGTCCAGGAATCTCTGTATCACATTCATCTTCCAAAGAGTTGCTGCAGTCAATCTCTCCATTACTCAGGATATTGAAGATTGCATAATTTTCAGATTGGATATGTTGTTGTTTAGCTAGCTGTTGTTTAAAGAAGGAAAAAAGGCATTATCTCCAAAATTAAGAAGGATCAAAAAGTAACAGAATGTACTCACTATTCAAGGAAATACTACTTTCTCTGCCAGTGGAAATGGAGGGAATGGCCAGGGAAGGATCAAGTGCCTTTTCAAATAACAGCAGTTTAGTATATTTTCAGACATCTATCTTTTTGTGGACAGGAAGCCCCAGGAAACTCATCTTTGCCTTTATTAGCCCCCCCTTGAATTCTTAAAACTTGGGGGGTTAATGACAGTTTTTTAGAGAGTAATTATTCTTAAAATGACTTCTGAATTCAGACACAGAAAAATGAGCTGCCCTCCTTTAGTCACCTGAAAATGTATCTTCCCTCTTTAAATAGCAAGTGAAGGCATGACAAAACCCACACTTTTAATTTTATTGCAAGATGAACTACATAAGACAGCTCCATTTCTTTCCTAAGCTGACTTTGCGTAGTTTACTTTGTGGTGAAATTAGAATATTTTACTTCACCACACTTTTGCTTTGCAATAGCTCTTCCCCAAGGAAAGAAATACAGTCCACTCCAGTGAGAAAAACCAGGTTCTGCAGGCTGTTGCTGAAAAGCAGAATCACAGCATCACCCAGGCTGCATATTAACCATGCAGATACATGCGGCTACAGCAGCTGGCTACAAGCAGCCTCAGTACAAAGAGGGGCCACTGGTCTGGAGCAGCTTAGATGCAGCAGCAACAAAGTTGCTCTTAGAGAGTGCAGAATTTCAACCAGTAACACTTGCAACCTGGACTAGCCAAGTGCAGAGCCAGACAGAGATGTACTTCACAACCTCGCACCAAAACTTTAGGGGTGTTCAAACAGCTGAGCAGAGCCAATTATTCCCATGGGGTGCCACTAATAAATTCTCTTGTACCCATGTTGTATGGCAAGCAGGCACTGAAGTTTCTCTGCTCTGTGTTCCCTGCATTTGTCACACTAACTGTATTAGTTGGGTTGTGCCATCCACACCATTATCTCAGCCTCTTTCTCTGGGAAATACCAGACCACTGGCCAGAGCCAAATTCACCATTTCTGCAGAATTCCAGAATCTGCAAGCCTGGGACCTCAGCAAGTAACAGCTGCAGTAAATCACTGGGCCATTACTGATCAAAACTAATCCTACCGAAATGTCATACTTTCAGAAGAAATTCTCACATGAGCATAAAATCAATGATAGGCTTCTGTGTACAATGACAATCATTAGAGTATTTTTTTAGAGCTATAAATTAATGGTTGCCCTGGAAGAAATAGTTCAGTATGCCTAATATATGTAATCCCCCAAATCTACATTTGTATAAAACAGAGTTAAGTATTTCTAAACATGATTTGAATGAAGCATTGAACTATTTCATACAAACCACTGCCACAGAGGTGAGATAATTTGAAAATACTAGTTTCTTGCAATTCACCAATAATCTATACATCCTTATGTACTAAAAAAATACAAGCTAATTTCAAAAGTATTGCTGTATTCAATGCTGTATCTTGAAAAATACTTCTGATTTACACCTATAGTCAGCTAGAAAGTTATGCTCTTCTTTTCTGATAGATGCAGCCACAGAGGGCCATGTCCTCAGGGTTGGAACTCAGTGTGTATGTCATTTATATGCAGTTCAGATTATGTGCAAGGTAAGCAGAACTACATATGGGTTTCAAAAGATGAAGCAAAGCACACACATTATGTATACAAATATTTAAACACCTGTAACAAAAGTAAAAGACAAGTTAACATGTCTACAACTTTGACTGTAATTTCCTTGGCCCAGTGACTGGTTTAACATAGGATTTATGCAGCAACAGTGAGTCATTCTTCCATGGAGTTTCTAAACATTATTATTTTATTACAGCAGTAGCTCAGCATGATGTGAGGGAGCTGCAACCCTTCAAATGAAAGATCTAGCCAAGAAATAATGACCACTTGTCATAGAGACCGCATGGTCCATTCTCCTAAGGAGCAAGGATATTACCACTATTGTCCTGGCTATAATCCAACCTAGATAATTACATTCTGGCTAATTTTGACTTGTACTTCAAGCATAAACAATATTTTTCAACACTTTATTAGGATGTAGGGTTGTTGGGGTTTTTAAATAATGTCTTCTATTTAACTACTACAGTCAAAAGCAACATGTATTTATGTGTGGGTAATTAAAAAAAACATATCTGCAGTTTAGCTGAAATGAGCATCGTATAGGTTACAATTAATTTTTAAAATGTTTTAGAGTCTTTTTAGAAAAGGAAAATGTAAATTATAAGATTACTTCAGAGTAATACGAGGAAACAGAAAAATAGTTTTAAAGAAAATGCTCAAAATAAGTAAGAGACAAAAAACCCCCCAACAAACCTCTCAATTTGGAGTCTATAGATACCTAATAAAATAAGGAGTAACAGATGGCTAATATGGGGTCTAAAATACACTGCCTTGTATAGTTGGGGTTTTTTTAATTAAATCTCAGTATGTTATCTTAGTTGCCATGAATTTACAGAATCATACTGTAGACTTACTACTACTGCATAAACTCTGATGCAAGGTAGCTCAGTTTTCTATTAGCCAGGTAGGCTACCCTAGCTAATATATCCACCCTCTCAGAGTGACCCAATCTGACATTTCTCACCCCAACACCAGCACATCACTGCCCACATGGGAAGCCGTAAGTGAAACCTGCTAGTGCAGCCCTGCTCTTTAAGGATTAACAAGCCACTCAAAGTGCTTTTAGTTCCTCCAGGGACAATGAATCTGAATAATAATTAACCTGATCTAAAAAATCATGACATACAGAGTTATAGGAAGTTTCCTCATCTCTTGCACAAGAGCAATTTCAACTTCTGCATTCTTAGCACAGCTCCCTTTGATACCTTGACTGCATGTGCCAGGCACAGCCAAGCAAACCACTAGCCAGCTGTAGCTGACCTGTGGGTTCTCAAAGCAAAAAGCAATTCATTACATCATGCAATACATGGGAAGTACACCTCTACACCCAGCTGTAGGCCTATACAGGAGCTGCTCCCCATTATTTGACCTGTCTGATGCTTCAAAAAAAGAGAAGAACCAGTTTTAATTAAGCACACTGCATCTGCCTTCATCATGATGCATGTAATAGTCCTAATCATGGCTGTACTTAACAGACAGAAGATTTTGCTCAAGCAAATTTATTATCAATAGGTTCGGTGTACTCATTACCAACTTCCACTAAGTGGTCATAGCAGTAAAGTTACCATTAAGCTTTAAAAAACAAGGTACCTGAAAGATTTCCTTATCCTGACACATGACTGTTTGCTGTTGAAGTGAGAGCACTTCGCAATTTGTTACGTTGGGAGGAATCCATGGGGACTGCTGCCCGGGCAAAAGATACGACGCCACTCCTCTGTAAAGTAACGTCTTGTCCGATCCCAAAGGTAGCATCTCTTCCAAGTGTTTCAGGCTGCTGTACGAGCATGGGACTTTTGAGATGTAATGTGCTACAGCTAGAAGTATGTTCGTTCTTCTGTTGTAGCTGTTATTCTTGTGGGAACTGGTGGCTAAACATTTATGCCAAAAGCCTTCCAACAAGCTTTCTGGAACAACATCATTGCCAAGCAAGCAAGCAAAGAGAGGGAGGTGTGTCAAACTAAGACCCAATGCACGGCAAAGATCTTCTCGAGAGTACATAACAGTGACCAGTCTGTCCAAACGGAGCTTCTCAATGGAAAAATAGGGGCATGTATTATAAATGAGGTAGTCACTATCCTGCCCGAGAATTCCTATGCAGTTCTGTTGCAAACCATACGCAGCCACCTCAAAGTCTGCCTCTTGCAATGTGCACACTGTTTTTTGACCAAGTGACTTCAGAGCAAAACGTGTAAAAGTAGGTAAAGCTGAGGGAACAACGAACATTCCTCTCCCTGGTTGTTTCCTGTGAGTCTTGATAAACTGAAATATTCTGGCTATTTCCTTGTTATTCTGCAACCTCCGTTTGATCCACTCATCTCTCTTTTTCTCTTCTACCACTCCGTCGAAGTAAAACACCAGCTTGATACCAGCTGCCATAAAAGTTTTAATAAAATCCTCTAAAACAGCAAGGTACTCCCGCCACTGGCCACCACAGACCCAGGATTCTGGTGTGTACCAGTATCTAACACAACTCATGGCATCTACTACAATAACAGGCGGGAAATCAGGATGATCGATGCGATGTTTTTCTGCCATTTCCCTCAGGTCTACTGTTCTGCATGCATCAGGGCAAACTCTTGCCACAAATCCCTGCAAACCTTTAATGCCCATGGCTGACCTCCGAAACTCACAGTAGTCTGAAAAAAGAAAAATAAAAACAACATTCTAAAATGCAATACTGAGGAACAGAATTAAATTCTACAACAACAACAAAAAAAAGTGTCTTTTAAAATAGATTGGTTCAAAATTTATGTGCGTGCTAGAAATCCCATTTAATATATTAACTTCACTATTAATGGTAGTCAGATTTGTAGATTCACAAAATATAGGTAAACCTCTAATTGTTTAAACAGGTCTTAAAAATTACATCTTCAGATGACAGGATAGTAAAATGGATTGAATTTCTGATTCAAAGCAGAACTGGTACTACCAAGACTGTTGCAGAAGTGGAGGCATTGCAACTGGTGCCGTACCAATGGACTACCATCTATTAACTCAGATGGTAGCTGAGCCATTCGCACAATCAAGGTACAAGACTGACGTCCAGAGTTACTCAGTATTTTTCCCCTGCTGACTTCAATTAAAGACATTTGCCTACTCTTAGTGTGAAAATCAAGCCATTAATTTCTGTGTTGTACACCGTCAGCTAAGATGTTAGGAGACTCTCTTTTTCAAGCTTTTAGTTACACCGATACTTGTTTTTCTAGCAATGTGTACTTTTCTATATTTTATGCCAGACATTAAATAACTAAAAATGGAATAAGCCTACATTCAATCTCAGGAAATATCAAAAGATTGAAAAATAGAGTCTCCTAATTCTGTGGCAGAACTTAACAGCATGCCAAATGAACCAATTTACACATTCTGTAGAGAGAGTTATGAGCTAAAATTAAAACAGTTGATGACCTCCATTTTTGTTTCTAGAAATCTCAGCACAAAGAATTTTGGCACAGCCTCTACAACAGATGTGCTCTTTCCTCTACTACAGCATCCATTTCCTTTACCACAGCACTATTTTATTTTAAAGGTCCTTCCAATGAAAAATTGAGGTAACAAGCTCCATGAAGCTTTGTTTTCTTCTTTATTCTCAAAAACTCTGTTTGATATTGCTCGAAAGCCAAATCCCTTCTCAGTTAAACAGTGAAGAAATTCACTATGTTTTAATTAAACAGGTACAATGTTTCTTGTTTTTCACACTGCTGATTTCTGACATTTCAATTACAGACTGTCTCACGAGTGTTACAATATACACACAGTACAAAAAAAGAAAAAAAGGAAGTTGAATTCACTGTGAATTGCCAGCTTTTAAAGGTATTCCTGAGTCCTCGGAGTTTAATTACCTAATACCCTCCAAACACAGTTTTTTGAATACCATCCTCTTTAATCATAAAATCCTAGAATGGTTTGGGTTGGAAGGGACCTTTAAAGGTCATCTCGTCTAACCCCCCTGCAACGAGCAGGGACATCTTCAACTCGATCAGGTTGCTCAAGAGCCCCATCCAGCCCGACCACGAATGGTTCCAGGGATGCGGCAGCTACCACCTCTCTGGGCAACCCGTTCCAGTATTTCACCACCCTCACTGTAAAGAATTTCTTCCTTATATAATGCAATATGAAATACATACAAAGTAAAACTGAGAGCATACACTAGACCTCATTGTTATAAAATCAGAAATAAACATGCATAATCTGCTTCACATGGATACAAGGTAGGACACTGCTCTCTCTATGATGCTACTTCCAGTGTTACCCGGGTGCCCTTAAGACTCCAGCCATTTGCTTTTCCAGGAAAGCTGCACCTCTGATTCCAAACGGTTTGAGCACTGGTAGGTTACCCGGTTTCATTACTTTCCACGGAGACCAAGCAAAAGGTGTGAAGGTCTTTATCTTTCAATCACTAACAAATGCGGTCAGGCTAAATGATTTGGGGTCACTACACAGACACAGTGTGCCACGGCAGGTCTTACTTCTGCAAAAATACATCATGTCCAAGCAAGTTTTAGTTATGCTTCAGTACAGATTCTGTCCATAATAGCTACACACCTAGAGCAAGGAGGCGTGTACACCTCCTTGTACACAACTTACTAGCTATGCTGTACTGTAATAAATAGAAACATTTTTTCCACCTCTTCACACGTGTATTCGAAGCACTCCTCTTGCCTAACAATTCAAGCAAGTCTACGCATGATACAGAGATTATCAGAAAAATGCCATTACTGGTACCAGTTTAGCTTAATCAATAGTACGTTCACACCCAAACATATAAGCAGGCAGCTTGACCACTACTAGCATTTTAATATTACTAGCAAACACATTCACTGAAAGAATCATAAAAATTAAAAGAGTTTATATTCTGTCAACCATCCTGTTCCACTACTAGTGACAGTGATGCTAAGGAAATCACTCTCTAATCCATCACAGTAGCAGAAAAGAGAACAAGTCAGATCTACTGACTTGAGAAGTACTTTCATCAGAGGCACCTCAATAAAGCTGGCAGAATCAGGACCAGAATGTTTTATGTTGTAATGCTAAGCTTCCCAAGAGTGGAAAACATGCACATTCTGTGGAACAGATGAACAGCTTAAGGCCCGACTCTTATTTCTAATGTTACTTGTGCGAAATGGAGATCTCATGATACCATAGGATCTCAGCTGCATTACTATCAAGTCCATGAATCTGCAGGGAAAAAAACCATTTTCTCCACAAACTGAAATAATCAAGAATGTTCCCCCTCTGCCCCCCGCATTTTATACAGACACAAAAATTGAGACCCCCACAGCAGCTGATACCACTAAACTTCATCTTGTCAGCAAGCAACTGCCACGATACAAATTTTATTATGCCCATGGTAACACACAGCATTGTAAAGGGTTGTTAGCAGAACGTTCACAGTAACCTCCAGCCCTCACAAGAGCCCTCTAGCCGAGACCCACAGCACAAGGGACGAGGAGCAAAGTCCTCCACTCCTGAGGCGCAGCAGCGCACAGCCAGGCCCGCGGACCCCACTGCCTTGAAGGGCCGGGGCCTGTCCCAGAGGCACGACAGCGGGAGGCCGCAGGCAGGCAAGCGCGGGGCCGGCGG